GGTCTCAAAGTTCCCAAGGTTGGACACCCCTGCTCTAGAGTTTTAAAAAAAACTGTTGATAGCAAAAAAGGGCAGAGGTAGAGATGGGGAACATATTTCTGCTTATCGGGAAAATTATATCAGTGTTTTTCAAATTTGGCAACTTTAAGGTGTTTGGACTTCATTTCCCAGAATTCTCTAGCCCAGTGGATTTTCACACTCTGAATTCCCCAGCTTTAAGATGGCTGGATTTCTACTCCTGGAATTCCCCAGCCAGCATGTTTTAAGATATGTTGAGTTCCATCATATTATTCAGCCAGATGGATGGGCTTCCTCTCCCAGAATTCCCCAGCCAGCACAACTGGCAGAGGAATTCTGGGAATTGAAGTCCTCACTTCTGAAAGCTATTCAGTTTGTAAAACTGTACTAAGTGGTGGAAAGTTGGTAGTAGAGGATTTTTCACAGAGATGTATGATGGTGGAAAATTTGACCCCGCTTCCCCAAAGTGGAAATCTGGGTCACAGCTGCAACTGTGCGCTATGTTCAAGTTGTTAAGCAACAGGTCATTAATATTTTTGAGTGCAATGAAAGCTCAGGCACCTGAGAATGAGAATACAGAAATCTGAATGAAAACACAGATATATGAATGAGATTCCCCGAGGCTGAGGACAAAATGGGAATGTCTCAAAACAGTAATAAAGATGAATGGATATATGGGGATGAATAGATATTTGAGATATTTCAGGCACAGATTTTGGGGGAGTGGGGAATGAACTATTATATCTTTGTCCCGAAAAAGAAATTTAAACAATTGTTATAGATTCCACTCTAATAAATTCATTAAATAATTAATACTGGGAATTTTTGTATTTGGCATCCAAGATTTTGAATGTTAATTTCTTACTTTCTGGATGATAAACCAAACCAATAAAGCTCCTTGTAAGTATTTACCTCTGGGTTTTATTTTGCAATGGAGGGCATAATAATATATTTTAAAATACGTATTTTTTTTCCCCCACAAAAGGGCCAAATCTTCCAAGAAACGTCCTGAGTTTGAAAATGGGGATATCAAAATATGCCTTAAGAGAATGGGCCGCCATAAGAATAAGCCACTCCATGAGATTTAAACCTTTTAAAAACATTCATATTTAATTTGAGGCTTCCTTAGGGAGCATCTGAAGATGTTGATATTGGTTTGGTAGATCTTCAGCTGTGCCTTGTCTAAAACAGGCTGCTCCTTCTCGGCTCAGGGCTCCCGCAAAATGCAACCTGTGCGTTTTCTCCTGGGTGGGAAGCAGTGTCATTTTACTTCTTTTCCTGCCTTGTTGCTCTTCTCCAGCGAGTCCCCATCGGTTTGGTGCCAAGAAAACTGGGTCCACTGGAGAGCTGTGAAGCTGGCATTCAGTGTAGAAAGGCAGCTCCGTGAAATCATCAACAGGCTGAAACAGGTAAACCAAAGCTTGCCACTGGATCTTGATCTTCGTCCGTCCATCCATCCCCCCATCCATCCATGTCTATCTATTCTATCTGTCTGTCTATCTGTCTACTTATATCTGTCTGTCTATATATCTATCTAATATCTATGTCTACTTAAATCTGTCTATCTCTATCTATCTACTTATATCTGTCTGTCTGTCTGTCTGTCTGTCTACTTATATCTGTCCTTGTCTGTATATCTATCTATCTATCTGTCTATGTCTACTTATATCGGTCTATCTCTATCTATCTACTTATATCTGTCTGTCTCTGTCTGTCCGTCCGTCCATCTGCCTACTTATATCTGTCTATATATCTATCTAATGTCTATGTCTACTTATATCTGTCTATCTCTATCTACTTATATCTGTCTGTCTGTCTACTTATATCTGTCTTTGTCTGTATATCTATCTTAATATCTGTCTATGCCTACTTACATCTGTCTATCTCTATCTACTTATATCTATCTGTCTCTGTTTGTCTGTCCGTCCGTCCACCTGTCTACTTATATCTGTCTGTCTGTCTGTCTGTCTACTTACATCTTTCTATCTATATCTATTTATCTACCGTATCTATCTGTCTGTCTACTTATATTGTCTGTCTGTCTACTTATATCTGTCTGTCTGTCTGTATCTATCTAATATCTGTCTATGTCTACTTATATCTGTCTATCTATCTCTATTTATCTATCTACTTACTTATATCTGTCTGTCTATCTATCATCAAAAAGGAAAAATAAAAATAAAGCAAAAAGCCTAAACGAAAGAGTTTTAAACTTCAACCCCAATCAAAAGAATGTTTCTCTCTGGGATTTTGTTCTCCAGCTGCCAGACTTCCTAAAGGAGGACTTTGACGGTTCCCGAAACGAGATCCTTAGGAGGTGTCTCTGTGCAGGTTATTTTGCCAACGTGGCCCGGAGGTGAGGCCTTCCATTCGAGGAGGGATGGAGCGGGATGACGTCGGGGTAGGGCACACAGCGATGACCAAAGCACACAGCCTTTGGGACCGTAATTTTCGCTGGAGAATTGCAAGGAGCTTTTGTAATTTTCCCCCCAACTGGAGTCCTTGGGGAATTTGGGGAAACGTCCTGGCATTGGGGCAAAGCAAGTTCATCTTCCTCCCATTTTTCTTCGGCTCTAATTCCAGGTCTTCGGGGAAATCTTTTCGCACCATGGACGGCCATGGCAGCGTGGCCTATATTCATCCGTCATCTGCTGTAAGTCGCCTCTTCGGGTTAATTATTGTCGAGTGGCGGAGATTTCACTCTAAAGATCTGAGGAGAAAAATCTCCTGAGCAGAATCTTTGCATTCCTGACTTTCCCGAGTCTTCCCGAGAGTCGAGCACTGGTATCACTCTGCAACAAGATATTGCAATGTCATCGGTTCTTCTAATACAGAGTTGGGGAACAATGGTCCTTTTAGGACTCGTGGACTTCAACTCCCAGAATTCCTGAGCCAGCATGGGAGTTCTGGGAGTTGAAGTCCACAAGTCATAAAGGGACCATTGTTCCCCAATTTTATTCTATTTAGGAACATTCCTGTTCCGGGGTCCCCAAGCTGGTTCCCTCCAAGTGGGTTGTCCAAAAAAAGAAGGAAACCCTTTCAGATGTTGGCCGGGGCTGGGCTAG